GGAAGAAGGAGAAGAAGAAGAAGAAACGTTTTATCTCCTGTCCCCAGGGAACTTTCAAAAACAAAGCCCCTTTTAGCTTGCGGCTAAATCAGCAATATATCAGGGTTGGATACTCAGAGGAGTGGGTATTCTTGGGGTTGCCCCAATTTTAGTTTCTTGGTCTCCAAATCAGTGGGGGAAACCCAAACAAACAAACAAAACCCTCCTTTCACCAACTTTTCCATATACCCGATACCCCTGAGCAATATTCCCATCCTGGTATCCTGGGAAGGCCCACTTGGAGTAAGATCGGGCCAAGGGTACCCCACTTCCACCTAAATGGCTTCTAGCTATATTGACTTCCTGCCCATGGGCTGTGAAGGCCGAAGCCAAGAGCTGGACGTGTGGAGGCAGCAGGGAGTGAGGACACCTCATCCGCCCTTCTGTTTCTCTGTGTTTGTTGTAGGAGTGGGATTAACATTGAAAGGTCACAATGTTGTTATCAGGGCTTTTACAGGGGCCTTCCCACAGCGGCCTTCAAGAAATGAAAACCTCTATGGCTCGTCTTCCCACCCAACAGTCTCTTCCGGAGTTGCTCTGGCTGGCAATTAGATTTCTTAGGACTTGGGCAGGGTGGTGGTGAGTGAACACAGTTTCTTGTTCTGTAGGCTTAGATAAGTCCCTTTCCTTCTGAGGGCCTCAGTTTCCCCAGATGTCACGCCTGAGATATTGGCTTTGTGTCTTGTGATAGGGCTGGCTCCTTGGGTGCTCCACCAGCCCCTGGGGCTGCCCACACTTTCCAGCAAAGATTCGGCCTCCTGCCTGTTACCTGGAGAGCAGTAATCAGCCCAGAAATCTTGTTGACAAAGCTGAGGGCAGAGTTTCCACTGGAAAAAAACAGCTTGCAGGAATAATTGTTGCTGATAAGAAGTGAAAATCCACCTAAGCAAGCCACATCTCTCCTTCCGCATCACCTAGGGCCTCCCAACTCTGAGTTTTGCCAAGCTCTAAGACTCCGCTTGTATACCCAGAGGTGATAGGACCATCAGCCTAGACACTCTTGGAAAATGGGAATTTGTAGCCCCCACCCCCATTTCTTTGTCATGACTCTCTAACCCTTGATGCTTTGGGGTACAGTCCATGACTTTTATAGGTTCTCAGAGATATTCTCCAAATGGCTGATTAAGAATCACCTCGGAGGGTAAACTTCCTGTCAACTGTGCGGATCATCAGCCAATGAATTTATTATTATTCAGTTCCTGGTTAAATATGCTTGGTGAGCATAACAAATGTGCTCAGTGCTGCGGTGCTGAGGACAGAGGCGGCAGGCCGCCCTGGCTGGAACACAGGCCGCCACACGCAGGCTGCCACCAGCCCTTTCCTTCCTTGGGAAGGCCCAGAGGCAGACACCGCCTGCGCTTGCCCTCTTCCTTCCTGCCCTTGTACAAATCATGAACCTATCTGGGATGGATAAAACTTAAATGCATCTCCAGTTTCCCCTGTCACCCCCACACACCATAACTGTAGGTCTTTTTACTTTATGACAATCTGCTGACCAGTGGCAGAAAAGTCTCTTGAGGGATGAGCCCCCTTTTCTAATTGAGCAATGATCCCATATGGTGGCCCCTCCAAACCTTCCCCCAAAAGATACCGAGAGAACAGCTTACCAGGCTCATCTGAAAGGAGCTGGCCCAGCACAGCAATTGGAGGCTACATGGCTTCTGTGCGTAATGAACCCTCTAAAATGCATCCATCCAAAGAGAGTGGATTGACATGAGAGATGGTTCTTTCTTGGAAAAACTGACCAGAATGTTCTAGAAAGGAACTAAGATGGTTGGGTCGGGGTCCTAGTAACTTACCTTTCAATGCTGAGATTTTTCTGGCATGAATGGCATCTATTGGTTTCACTGCAGCGTGCAGAAGAATTTCCCCTGTGCTTCTCAGCCATGTTTAATCTATGTGAGGGCTGGGAGACATTCAGACAAGAGGCGATTTACATATGGTCTGCTTGTACAGTACCCCTTCTCCCCTCCTTCATTTTCATGATGCATGCTGCCTGCCTCCTGCCCCAGCTAATGCTGAGAGAGTTCTAGACAAAGAACGAGAGCAGAGAGCAGGAATGGGGCGGGAGGAAGAAAGCGTGTCACTGTGGGCTGGCCCTGATATCACTATGCCTAAGTGACACGCTAAAATGAAGAGACAACAAGTGAAAAGGTGGAAGGGTCATACAGATCTCATCCTGGGCACAGAAAGACAGTAAAAATTAAAAAAAAAAAAAAAAGCAAGAGATGGGCATGTGAATGCAGACCAATGTGTAGGTATCTGTATCAGGAAGAATTCTCTCCTCGGTAGGGAAATGATTTGGTTTCCCTTTTTCTTCTAGAAAGAGCAGGATCTTTGAGCCAGTGTCAAGCGCTAAAAAGCCGAGTTTTGATCAGTGCAGTCCCAAGCTGTTCAAGACCCCTCTCCTGAGCACTCTTTCTCCATTTGGAGGCGCATGGGGATCATACTGTTCACTGGGATATAGGCTCTTCCTGTCCGTTAGCATCTGAAGATGTGTGTGCCTCCCAAGGACGTTGGGGATCAGGGGTCAGTTTCAGTGACATCCTCATCATGATGGGACTTTGCCAGAGCTGGGGAAGGCCTCAGTGGCCAGCTCAGTCACCCTCAGGGCCCTGAGGATGATCTAGCATGTGTACAGGGCTTTATCTGAGCTCAGGGTCTTTGCTGCAGGAGCATGGGACCTGTGGTCTGAACTGAGTGAGTGGGGACATAGGGGAGGCATTGGTTGTGACATCGGTGTCTGGCAGGAACTGTGTGATCTCATTTCTTGCTAAGACAAGGTCAGGGCTAGGTCAGGGTTAGGAGCAGGTTGCTCTGGGACAGCCCCAGCAAAAGCAGTAAATGTTCTCTGTGCTCAGAATGTGATTGCTGGTGGGTGTGTGGAGATCTATGAGAAAGGGAGCATGAAGTATGTTTTTCCACTGGTCCCCATTTTAAGCCCGTGTCTTTGACCCACTTTCCTAGCAACTCACACTTGGACCCAGAAGCTGATACTAACATAATTTCTCCTGAAAAGACCACGCAGTGGTTGATTGTGCAATAGATGACTATGTGGCAGCAGACAGGATTTCCCAGATGAGGGGTCTGGCATCAACATCATTCTTCCCATCATTATGACCCAGGGCTTGTCTTCTCTATTGTCTCCTGACTCGGGAGACATGAAGGTTGTGCAGGGCTTAAGGTCGGGGAAAGGGCTGAGAGATTTCCCACTGAGAATGTGGCAGGGTGGACGGAGACTCAGCCGAGCTCCAAACACAATCAGCTTCCCTCGGTTTTCCCATCCCTCAGAGGGATAATGACAGTGCCTGCTAATGAGGGTGAGGCTTAAATGAGTGAGTACTGCAAAGGCCCCTGGAGCAGAGCCCAGGACAGAGCGATAGGTGTCTGCTCTGATGACTGTCGCTGGGAAAGGGCGGAGTCTGCAGAAGGCAACTCGGGCACTAGAACCAGCCTGCCCTCGTTTGCCCTTGCATGGTACCGCCCACCCCCTGGCAAATCCCTCAAGATGCTCTGAACTTTGGTTTTGGTATCTGTAAAATGAGGCTTCTCTCCATGCCCCCCGCCTATCTCAAGACCATCGTGAGGGCTGAATAAAATAAACTGTACTGCTTAGCAGGCCTAGAGCATGTTAGATGGTCTCCAGCCCCCCCCCCCTTTTTTAAGTTCCAAGGTGATGGTCTACCTGGATGAACTCTGACCTCTGAAAGCCTAGGGCTTGAAGACAGGAAAGCAATGGCCTTTTCTTACCCGTGGTTCTCATTCCAGACTCCCTAAGAAGCAGAAAGGGAGCCTAGCCAATCCATATACTGCGGGGCTGTGTGGTCAGCAGGCTCAAAGCCATGGAAACGGGGAACCTGTCTGGGGCCAAGCGGCCTGTTTTTCCCCACCAGACACACCTCCCACAGCCTCGCTCAGACCATGCTGTCTCAGCCCCACATCCACTGCCTTCTCCTCTGCTGTTCCTAAAGAGCTGGGGGTCCCCAAGGGCTGGCACAGAGCTTGGGGGCTGGCGATTCTAGGGTTGGACCCAGATCTGAGGGGTCCCCTGGGCAGTTTCCTCCCCTACCTAGTCAGGCCAATATGAAACAGAGATCTCTGAAGAGCAGCAACCAAGGTGGGGATAGACCCTCTCCACTTGGGGTTTGGCTTAAAGTCTTTTTTTCAGGGTCCAGGTTTAGTGCCCTCTTGTCTCTATATTTCCACACCACATCCTATTGGTATCGGGGAGGAAGTATTTTGTGTGTGGGTCTGTCTGTCTCTGTCTGTCTTGTGGACAGATGTGGGAAGAGGGAAATTTTCCCAGCCCCACCCTGGTAGCCAGTTCTGCCACCAAGACCCAGAGTCCAGAACCTGGCTCAGTCCCACCTCAGGCTTCGCATGTCGGGGAAAGAGCTAAAAGTAGCAAAAAAACATCCTGTTTGAAAGCTGTGTGCTGCTGTAATTTTAACCCCCACTCCCACCTACTCCCACTCTCCACAAACAGATCACGGCCTCCTGCCTCTGAAGGTACCCAAGAGGCCAGGGCCCCAGCTGCAGTCACAACCTTCGTAGTCCGCAGTGCCAGAAGTCTCCTTTGCGGTCCTGCGCTCAGCCACACCACTGCCCTGTGCTACCCTTCCCAGAGTGCTCCCCAGACCTGGAAGTGGGCAGCCAAGTACGAGGTCTCCCTCAGACAGGGAGCTTTGCAGGAGGCCGCAGTTTGCACTAGTTGCCACCCTCACCTCTTCCCACTGTGTTGTGCCCTCTGCCTTGAGGGACAGCCATTCTGACTGCTGTCCAGCCCCTCCTCCTCACCCCTGGCAGCAACAGCCCCAACGCCCCCAAAGTCACTCCTTTCCTGTTTTTATCTTAGGACCTAAGTCCCCTAGCAAGTCTTGTATGGTGTGTTGGGCTCCTTAAAGGACTGGCTGGGAGATCGAAGACACTTCACATAAAACGTCTCCCCTTGTTCCTTTCAGATTCTTTCGGTCAGACTTATCTGTGAGACTTCCCGGGACAGCATCCTGAGGCCCTAGTCGTCCCTGCTCCTTCAGGTACGTCCTCAACAGCTACAGGCTCCCTAGCTCGCTCTCTGTGCTTGAGGGGCAAGAAGTCACCGCAAAATCGTCCGCGGCTGTGACTCTCTGGTGTGTGGCGTAGGGTGGGAGAAAGAGCGCCCTGTCAGCCGGGTCCTCCAGTGTGTCTGATCTTTCCTCGACGCGTGTCCCATCTCCTCTCTCTCCCTCCTGCCCACCTTGCTCTCTTCCTGTGCCTCCCGGAACTTTCAGCTTCTAGGCCCTCGAGTCCTGAGCCTTCCTCTCTGCGTCTGGATTCTGGTGAAGCACTGCTTTCTAGTTGCACTAATGACCCCAAGCAAAGCTGGGTGTTCTTGCTACCCTCCTGCAAGGATCCTGTCAGCTCTGGCTCTCTTGCTGCCAGCTCTAGCCTTTCTGTTCAGCCTAGTGCAATGGCTCCCAGCCCCGAGCCAGGAGACCTGACGTGAAGGTTATGCCTCTCCTGTGCATAGCACCGTGATGACTCAATGACCTGGGTTGAAGCCACAGACATCGCAAACAGCTTCTCCTGTCGCCCCGTAACGATATTGGGCACTGAGCTCTTGCCCGTACCTTAGATGCCTGCCATGTTCTAGAAACTGGTAGGAGTCACCTCGGACGTGGGGTTGTCCCACATGTGTGTTCAGCCCTCTGACATTGCCACACAACATTACCAGCCACATTCGTGCTTGAGAGATGTTCAATTAAGACAGAAAATTAAACACATGCACGCGCAAACACACACACACACACACACACACAAATCTTACATTTTAAGTAAGATAACAGTTTTGTGTTGAGCTACATTTATCGATATCTTTGGCTACATATGGTGCACGAGGCAACAGTTTGGACACATCTGCATAGAGGTAGTATTGCCAGACACGAGTCACTCTTCACTTTATTCATAACTGTTTAGAGATTAGCAAGAATTTCAGAGGCTGCTGGGATGGCTCAGCAGGTAAAGCCTGATGTTCTGAGTTCACTCTCTGGGACCCACATGGTGCGAAGAGAAAGGCAACCCACCCCTGGAGATGCCCTTTGACCTCTGCAAGTGTGCTATGGCATGAGTGCGGTGCACACAACCTCCCTGCAGAGACACACGAGATGAACGAGTACATGGAATTTTTAAAACTTGGAAGAGAGCTTTCAGACATGTATAGAAGTGCACGGACACTGTGTCTGAATAGAAATGAGATAGATAGCTGCCACCCAGAGAAAGAATACTGCTCCTACCTAATGCTGTGCCTTCCTGTCCCTCGGCGGCTTCATCCCTTCAGGGCTTCTCTTTCTTCTCTCTCTTTTTTAAATCGAAGTATGTTCATATGGTATATTCATGTGTGTGTGCATATGCCTGCTGAATCGTAATTCACAAGTCTAACACTAGCTGCAAAGGGAAGGTCGGCGATGTCACCTTTGGTATATAAAGGGACAGGGAGCCGACGAGGAAGCATCTGTGTGATTTTCTTTGGGGGCTGACAGTGTCATGGCTTTGCTTGCCCGCTCCCCATCTCTGTCACAAGGCTCTTTGTGAGATTAAGAGCAAAAGTAAAGTGTTTGCCTTATACATTTGCCAGGCATAGCAGCTGGCAGAGTGTTCGAGGGTGGGGCTTCTCCCGGCTTCCCTTGGGAGAGCAGTCACATCCACACTGCAACAAGGCTGCTTTCTTTTTTTTGGGGGGGGGGGTGTTAAGATGCAATAAAATCAAACTAATGAGCTTTGAGAGTCCACAGACCCCAGAACGTACCTCCCTCACCTCCTGCACCTGAGCCTGGGGCAGAAGCAGGTGTCCATCCCTCATCCCCATCTGTCTGCTATTTTCCTCCTGACACAGATGATCCACTCGCCTTGGGTCAAAGAGGCCACTCAGACATACATTGGCTCTGAGAGGGTTCTTGACAACTGGGAGATTGAGTCCAAGAGGATTTAAGGGAGACCCGAGGTGTCCTGGAGTCAGCTCCAAGCCTGACGACAGCCAGGAGGCAGCAAGCAAAGCCAGGGGCCAAATTTATCTAATGGAAGAGAAAGGTCAGCCGTTTCTTGAGAAGGACACAGCAGTACCGTCACTCTTTGTTCCCAGTCTGTCCCTTTTCCTCAAGTGTGAAATCCATGTCTAGATGAGAATGCCCACTTACAAAAACCATCTCCGAAGACAAAATTAGCTAATTGACTATGACTCACATTACTCAGAGGGACATCCAAAATCATCCAAAGTGTATCTGGAACAAGAATAGAAACGATACCACGAAGGACATGGGACCCTGAGCTGCCTGGCTGCAAGGACCAGGCCCTAGAGTGACCAGAGCTTGGTTTGCACACCACTGTGCTCCCCGTTTTCCTTTACAAGGCCACAAGGGGTGAGATACTGGCTCTGACGTGTTCAAGTCGGCTGGGCTGGAGCCGGTGCCAGGCGGTGTACACACATTTCTTCGGATCACCCCCAAAAGTAGAACATCTCTTCGGATGAGGGCAGTGAGGTACAGAGATGCCCAGTGCCTCTCCGGAGGAGCTGGCCGCTGTAGGATTTGAATATGGTGTGATCCTGGGCCTCGTTCTTGCTGTTTTGGTGAAGACAGCCATGCAGCCAGGGCTCCGAAGAACTTACGCTCTGCTCTGTCTCCAGGAAGGTTCTCCACAAAAGAACTCCCACCAGCTCTCCCCCAGGAAGGGAAAGGTGGCCGACGGCTATGCTGAGGGCGTCAGCTGCCTCCGGCAGTGACTCTCACCCTGACTGTGGCCTGCCTGCTGCCCTTACGAGGATGGAGGCGATGGCAGCCAACACTTCCCTGCCTGACCCTGGTGACTTTGACCGGAATGTGCCTCGGATCTGTGGAGTGTGTGGGGACCGAGCCACCGGCTTCCACTTTAATGCTATGACCTGCGAAGGCTGCAAAGGTTTCTTCAGGTGAGTCCCCTCTCCAGAGGGAAGAGAAGGAGAGAAGCAAGCCCTTCCCTCACAGGAGCCCCTATGCTTCCCTCGGGACATGGCGACTCTCCCAGTGACTTCAAGCAACAGGGTCTTGGTGACGGCTGTTTCCTCCTTGCATCCTCTCAGCTCCCCCTATGTCCTCTGACCTCTCAGAAATTGTCTTTCTAAGGTGGTTGTGTCTTCTCACTTGCCCTTGACCCACGGTGCTGAGCCACCGATCTGCCCTTTAGAATGAAACTCCTCTATGCTGAGGCCTAAAGCTTCCTCATTTAAAAGCCAGGCATGTCTTTGGGAAAGCCCCAGAGCCTGGCCTTTCTGTTTGCCTCTTTATCCAATCTAAACTCTTCCGTGGAACAAGAGAGACTTTGGTAACCCTCGAGTGGTTACCAAACCTGATCTACGCTGGGCTCTTCATCCACTGCCTGCTCTACCCTGAGCCAGAGGCAGCCATAGTGAGGGGGTTACACCATTCCTGTTAGGTCAGCCAAGGCTGGTGTCTCCTCCAGCACCCTTCTTCTTCTTCTTCTTCTTCTTCTTCTTCTTCTTCTTCTTCTTCTTCTTCTTCTTCTTCTTCTTCTTCTTCTTTTATTTATTCTTTCATAAATTACACCCTGCTTGCAGTTTATCCTCCCTCCTCTCCTCCCAACTCCTATCCCCCTGACCTCCCCTCTCCCCCAGATCCACTCCTCCTCTGTTTCCCTTCAGAAAAGGGCAGGCTTATATCAGCCAGGGACATCAACCAAATAAGGCAAGACAAGTTCCAGTACTGTTCTTATGTGAGCCCAAGACGGCGGGCACAGACAGCATGGGGACGATACTAGGAAGGTCCGAAGAGCCTTCTACCCAAAGCTGGAGATGGAGGACTGGAAAGGGTTAGATGGGAGGAGAGGATTCGGGAGGTAGGAAGTTTGAAGGGTTAGCATTCGGCATACACTGGAAAGCGAATAGCCTGGAAGTAACTCTAGAAAAGAAGTAGTGACTGCAGGTGGGTAGATGGAAGACCAGGACACTGTCAGGAAAGGCAAGAGCAAATCAAGCTCAGAACGGAGGATGAGGCCGGCCTGACAGGATGAAGTGGGATGAAGCGGTAAGCTCACCTGGCTCCGGGAGTACATGAACTTGAACTTGTGGGCAGGTCCCTGGTGTGGGACAGTCCTCCATCACAGAGGCTTCTGACTCACCAACCCTCTCCTTGGGAGCCTCTAGCCAGTGTTCCATGGCCTGAAGCAATTCTGATCTCTGGGCACTAGGGTTTCTGTTGGTGCTAACTGCCTGTTTGCCCTGGCACAGGCTGCCCTCTCAGCTTCCCGGAAAGCTGCTCCCTAGTTGGGGAACCAGACCAACGTGTCCCTGGTTATTATCTTGTAGTCACATCCATCAGTCCTCGTGGCTGCATGAAGCCCACACTGCTGCCTTCCAGAGTTCAAATCCTTTGTGCCAGATGCCACCTGGACTCTCTCCTGCTAGGGCAGGTGTGGCAGCCACCTTCAGAGAGGTAAAGGGGAGTCTGGGTGCACAGCGAAGCCAACACTGTCGTAAAACTGGTCAGAAGTACAGTGAGCGTTGTCCATGCCATCAAATTAATGCCCACCCTGGCTCGATCATTCTGAGTGTCGCTGTGTCTCAGCTTACCAACTCTACACATGTGTTGACATCTGGATCCTCTGCTTTGCCTTGTTAACCTGAGATCTAATGAGATGATGTGCAGGGAAGAGCTTTAGAAAGTGTAGAGTACAATGTGGCGTGATCACAATGCTGATGCCCTTGGTGGCATTCTGTCCTAATAAGTTTTCCACAAAGCCAAACTTCGGACTCTCACTAAAGACCACACGCCACCACTCTATAAACATGATGTTCCAACAGCTCCTAGAGCTGTTTCATTCACTGATGGAGCCCTACCCCAAATCCCCTTGCTCTTCCTGTGTGCCTTTGCCCTGGGACCCAGTGGTGGAAAACAGAACCCTTAAGTAGCTGCTTGATGGATATAGTGATACAGGATATAAAATATGGGATACAGCGAAGGTCAGTTTCTCACTAGACAAACACTAACTCTGAGGTGTCTATGACTGACACCCCCAGGGAGGCCACTGTGGTTTCCCCTGAATCGCGTTTGATCTATAAATAAAAAGTAAATAAACTCATATACATACTGTTGATACATTTCGTATGATTCCCGTATTTGAACATGTTCCCAGCTACTAAAATTTACCGGAATCAGTCCTTGCCACACCTTGGTTGTCATTTTATGCCCGGTGAAGAGCTATGCCAAGCTGAGTCACCTGCCGCACACCCTCCCGGGAAAGGCTGTGCGAGGACACCATGCTGCCTTCCGTTCTAGCTCTCACTCAAAACAAGCGTCTTTGTGTTTTTGTCACTGTCCCCCATGATGAAGAACCTTAGACCTGAGAGCTTGCTTGGCCAGTGCTCTGCCACCATGCTGCGTCTCCAGTCAGAGTGCCCTCTTAGCCGTCTGCTGACTTACCACCATGTTGTCTTTTGGGGTAAAAAAAAAAAAAAAGTTTTGTATTGAGGTGCTGTCAAACTTCAAGAAGCCATGGTGTGCCTCGTGGAGAAACCACACGTGTGAGATAAGCTGAATTCCCTCAGTGAGAGAAGCAGTCTTTTGGTGGCTCATTGCTAATAAAACAACACTTATTTCAAATGAGAAGACTTTAGACAGCATACATAAAACAAGGTGATAAACAACGTTGTAAGCCAAGGCTCACAGGAACCTGACTCTGTGTTTCCCCCAGGAGGCAGATCACCCTTCCTGTAGTGACAGGAATCAGCTGCAGCTACATCCCCTCCCCTCTCCTTGTTCTCTCGACACCTTCTTTCCTCTCTTTGACATGTCTACATTTCATATGGGATTTTTTTTCCCAACTTAGTCCAGTTCAAATACTTGCTTGAGTACTTCATAAACACATACCTGTTTATACCCCAAGAGGCAGCTGGTACCTCTTCTGTGTCAGACAGCACCTCCTTGGGACTACAGAGGTGTGTGAGACCAAGTTGTAGCTCTTCAGGGGCTCTCTATAGCCCATCATGGCAGCTATGGGGAAGACTTGCCCTGGTCTTGCCTCACAGGCTACTCCCCAAGCCCAAGGATTGGCTGTCCCCTTCAGCCGTTAGTGTTCGGTTTGGCTTCTAACTGCTGAGGTCCTAATTATGGTGAACCAAGGAAGTCCAAGGCTCAATCAAGCCCAAGAGTGATTATGAAGTTTGACATCTGGGCCACAGTTTAGTTGATCTGTTGTCAGGAGTTAGAGGCTGATGCTGGTCCTGTAGTCTGTTCCATGTTCTTCTGGAGCACCTGAACACCAAACATGGTATTTGCAGCACAAATAAAAGGCCTATAAATGTAAGCCTGTGGGTTCTCAAAGCTTCTTGACTATACGTCAACAAGCAGAGCCTAAGAAAGAGTCTGAAGGAGAAAATATGTAGGTCTACCATATAGGAAAATAATTATAATGGGCCATCTATAGGTGGATATGGATAAATTTCTGGTCCTAAATGGCTCTTTCTAAAGCCTGTTGTAAAAGAAAAGGCATAAAAGACAGAGAAGAATGTCCCAGGGACCCTGTGATGAAGGAAGAGATCAAGGTTAATGAGGAAATTTATGAGGGGTTCCTGAAAACTAGATTGAGAAACAGTTCATTGTTTGTCTCTTTTTTGCCTTCCCCCACACTATTAATATCTGTTGACAAAAACCTTGCAAGCTGAGGGTCTAGCTCAGTGGTAGAGTGCCTGCTCATCCTGTATGAGGCCCTAGATTGAACCCTGATACTGCAATTAAGGAGACAAGCAAAAACATTGGGAAGCTGAATGTTGTGAGCTCCAAGATAGAAAAAAAAAAAGTGTTTTCATTTGCTAGCCCCAAGGCCTTTAGAGGCCCTTGTTAATTATGGGTCTTCCAGAGTACAGGGGGTAAAAGGCAAGTTAGCAAGGATCCAGGAACATGGGAAATTTTCTGCTTTCAGGGAGATTGCTCATCTGCTATTTGTAGGTCTTCTAAGAATGTGTTGTAAAGGAAGCAGAGAAATGGGGAACTGCCCAGCTGATTCAAACACAAAGTACGTAAATGAAGGCGAGTAAGTAAAAAAGATGAGAGGAAAGGCCGAGTGGGGCCTTCTACGGACACAAGTAGATGGCTCACTAGGAGGCCATTGCAGCCGAAGAGATCTTTGTCCAGGTCAGCTGTCCCTCTACCCATGATGCCAGGTATGGATGAAAGAGTCTGTGTAGTTGTTGACAGATAGCCCCAAGAGTCACGTGCCCAGAGAGGCCAGAACATAGAAAGGAAGGTCAGTAGGGTTGACCAGAGAGACAGCTGCGAAGATAGAGAGATGCTTCCATTTCTTTTTGGTCAGTGTTATTTAATGTCTTTGGGAATCTGTGCTCTAATCTGAGCTTTTTGCATGAATTCACTCTCAGCATTCCCTGGGGCTTCTCTCTGTGCCCAGGCAAATAGAGCAGGAGGATCACCTGGGTAGATGCTACCCCAGACTTCCAGTCCATCCCGCTGGGGACTGCCAGTCACCCCAAGAGGAGCCCTTCAGACAGCCTCTGCTTCTGCTCCCATGTGGGGAAGGCACGGATTTGATTGTTGCTCCATTTGGGGTTGAGAGATGATAGATTCCTGGTGAAGAGCTTAGAGTGTAAGCCCTGGAGTCCACAGGTCCTGACTATATTAAGTTGTTGTCTGCACTAACTATGGGGCACTGAGCAAGCTATCTGTCTTCACTATGCCTCCTGATCTTGTTTATAGAATAAAGAAAGTAAGCATTCCTCGGAAGTACTACGGGTGTTGGGGATAGATGCAAAATGCTGATACGGAAGATGCTTGTGGGTAACAGCCCATCCTTGATAGTATGTCACTTTCCGAGGTCAGGAAACCTGTTCCTGTCTTTACTTATGTTGACTTGGATATGTGTGAATATGGGTTAGCTGGGATCTGGGGGTGGGAGGCTCAGGGTAGAAAGAATTAAACACCAGATGAAAATGGAAAGCTGGGCCAATGGACTCTGAGGGAATTTCATGTCAGTCAAAGACCCTGGGACTGGACAGAGATCACTGCCATGGCTGTGGCTCTGGACATCAGGAGCTAAGGATATGGCGACAATGCTTTGTCTCTCTGCCACGTGTTGAGTCCTAGGCTTGGCACCAAATCATGAGTGTGGGACGTCAGCATCCAGGGTCTCAGGGACTCAAGCGAACAGATAAAATTGACAGTCTTCAGTCTTCTTCACACTCCTGAACTCCCCTCAGGATGGGCATTTAAGGGTTCAAGCCCTCCGGAAAGCAGTGTTATGGTCTTGACCAGGTTAACCTTCCTTAAAGTTCTGAAGAGCATCTTCTGAGAACCTGTTAGTAATGCTACAAACGTCTGTGTCAGGTGACATCGCCTTCTTTGCTCCAGATTTACTAGGCTGTATGTGCCAAAGAGAACTGGTCTGTATTTAAAGTACACAATACAATGTTCTCTCTTTCTCTCTCCACACACACACAGAGGAACTTGACACCATGCTGCTGGCAGAATCCACCCTCTTGTCGGCCTGAGGCCCTCTCCCTTGGCACTTGATGTTTTTGTGAACTCCTTGTCTTCTACGTTTTGATGAATTGGCCTCTGGCATGAGAACTGGTCAATGTCCTCTCTAACCCCTGGCTTTCTAGAAACTGCCTCTATATTTAGCCTGGTTGCACCACCCCTGGGCCCCTTCCTGAAGCAGGGTATAATTGCCTGCCAGCCAGAGAATGACAGGGTTCAGATTCAGAAGCAGCAGAGGCACCGGGCTCCCGTGGATGAGAGAAGGCTCTTGTTTCTCAAAACCAAACTAGCTCATAAGCAGTTAGCTTTGGGGGGAAGACAGGGTATTTAGGACAAAGCACAGAGCCAAGGCTTGGTGGTCTGGCTGCCTTGACTCCTTCTGGGCAGAGGCTAGATGACAGCCACGTGTCATAGTGCCCTCAGAAAGAGGGAGAATAATAAACTAAGAGACTAACCTGGCCTTCAAGCCAGGAAGAGCCTATGACCCAGCAAACCCGTATTAAAGAAGACGGACCTAAAAGGCTGGCTCTGGATCTGGTTCTGGTTCTGAAAATGAGGAAGCCAGCAAACTTTTTGTGACTTCTGGAGCATGAAGTCAAAACTTTGTCTTCCCAGACACCATTACCTTTTCCCAGGTTCCATATTTACAGGAACTTGGGAAGAGCTGGTTAACATATTTTAAAATAATAGTTATAATTTAAAAGCTCCATAGAGTAGTTACAAGCTGTTTCTTGCATTTTGAGAATTATGATGGATGCGATGTGACCAGTTCCTTCTTGTTCCTGCCTCTGCGATGACGAACTGTGATCTGGAACTGCAAGCAGGAACAAACCCTTTCTCTCTGAAGCTGTTCTGTCCCCGTATTCTATCACAGTGACAGCCCCTCAGCGAGGGTCGCAGGCAAGACCTCTAGAGCCTGAGGAGTTGCAGAAAAGCCTCCGCAGGGCTCTGGATACTCCATCTGGTATCCAGGAAATCCTGTGCCTCACCTGAGACTGGTTTCAGCTTTGCCATGCTGCTGTGAAGGGCACACATAGGGGTGATTCTTGGCACCCAGAGTCTGGGAGAGTTCGCAGCAAGGAACTAGGTAGACAGAACGGTGGGTGGAGAACAGAGCCGTACCACGGCAACCAGAGGCAAAATGCCTACTTGTGAGCAAAAAGGAAGTGAGAATTTGCTCTCACTTAGAATTAGAATTAGAAACATCTGGTCTTCAAGTAGGGCATTTGTGGTAACAGGTGAAACCTCAGGAACCACAGCGGGAAAGAGAGGAAGGAGGGAGGGAGGAACATGTGGCTCACATCCTAGAATAGACCAGTGTGGTGATGATGACCTCATTCCTGGGTAGCCCTGATGGTGCCTGAGTTGCTTTTGTATTTCTACTGTCCTCTAGGAAAGCACTGCACTTGTAGCAGAGGTATAAGCTCAAAATTTGAAAGCTTCTTTTCCCCACCAAGGTGGACATTGGCTCACCTGTAAATACTCAGTCTCCCCCTGAGTGTTTACAGGAGAGACGGGGTGACCTCCACTTGGGGGCCGAACCACCCCTAACAGCGTGGCACTATCTACTTTCAGTATAACCCTAGCTCTGCTATCACCCATGGGTAAGAGGTGTCGTCAGTGGAGAGTACCGGACCCAAAATCCAAAGCCGACAGAAAGTTCTTCCTTCATCCTGGGCCCATTTGGCCTTGAGCTGTGCTCAAGGACCAGTTGTCTGGGACTGCTTGGTTGGGGGCTCAGTTCTATTGAGCACCTGGAGTTTCTAGGCTTGGAAGCAGTCCAAGAAGCTGAAAGCTGAGCCTGGATCCCTAAGACTCTCAGATCCAAAGCCTTAATTTCTTCCTGAAGAGTTTCTTAACCTCACCTATTAAGTGAGGCAGCCACACCAATGGTCTTTTGAGTGGACCCAAGGGTCTGTGGCCGTTGGTGATCGCTGCCCCTCTCTGCTGTCTTTTCCCATCCATGGGCTGAGTCGGTCCAGCTGTCTGAGGACTGTGGTCATCTTAATCCTCATGTTCCAAAGAATGTGAACTGCTTAGTCTTTGGTTGGTATACCTAGCCCAGGGCAGGGCTTAGGGTCACTGAGAGTAGCCCAAGAGAATGGAAAGTGAACATCCAGGGCCTTGTAGCCAGGTCCCCACAGTGACAGCCCCTGAAGGCTGTTCTCAGCCTGGGGGATCAGGAGCCGGAGGTCAGCGGCTCAGGGCAGGACTGTGTTCTCTCGGCAGGAGGAGCATGAAGCGGAAGGCACTGTTCACCTGCCCCTTCAGTGGGGACTGCCGCATCACCAAGGACAACCGGAGACACTGCCAGGCCTGCCGGCTCAAACGCTGTGTGGACATCGGCATGATGAAGGAGTGTGAGTAACGTCACCCAGGTCTCTCCGTAGAGTCTGCCTGTACCTACTGTGTAGCCCCAAAGATCCTGGAGCAAGAGCAGGGTGTGTGTGCGGTTGAAGAAGCTGCGGTTTGGAATGTATTGAGGGGCAGCGGGTAAAGGAAGAATCCCTATAATTCAGCAGGTGCTGGGAGGGGCTCTCCTGGGCCTCCTGGGCTGGAGCCGGACTCCGGCTCCCTACAGAAGGCCCCCAGCCTTTGCACAATGCTGTCACAGCCTGGCTCTAGGACGTAGCCTGTGCCTCGCCAAGCTGTGGGCCTGCAGTTACCCTGCGCTGCCCTCTGGGCTACGGGATGTGAGGAGGGAGGAAGATGGCAAAGATCAAGAAGACTAGTCAGGAGCGGACAAAAGTCACAGAACAGGACTTGGGGGGTGGAGACAGGGGTGAGAGAGGTTCTTTCAAGAGGGAAATAAATGCACTTTTGCTGGGGCACAGCAGAATAACCTCAGCCCTCCTCCTGGGCCCATCACTAAGGCTCCTCAGCTCTGATCGCAGCTCCCGGCCAACACTGGCAGCCCTGGAGTTTCCAGACTGTGGTTGCTGCTCGTACCACAGAATCATGCAGGTCTGAACGTGTCTCTGCTGGTACCATAGTCACTGCCCCACCCCAACCTCTGTGTTTATACTGGAGAGTGAGACGCAGAGGAGGCCCAAGGCTGGCTAGGTGCTCTCACACATTCTTAGTGAGGCCTGCTCTGTGCCTTTTGCTTGGGTGAGTGCAGAGAAGTACCCTGCCTCTGTAGAACAGGCTACCCCTTCGGAGGAGATTACTCAGTGACCTAAGGTCCCTGCCATCCAAGAATGCCCCTGGGCTCCACCATTGAGGCTCAGGAGGATGCTGTTACTTACTCTTGACTGTGCTCAGGACTGAGCTCTGAAAGCAAGCTACAACCCAACTCAGGTCCTAAAGCCCTCAGGGGGGCCACAAGGAGCACCCCAGACCTCAAGTGCCAAAACAAGAGCCCCTGTCACAGACACGTGATATTATACACTGGTGCCAGCCAGTCAGAAGTAGATGCCTCCTCCAAAGCAGCCCTAGGTCTCCTCTTGGTCCTCCATGGAGTCTCACATGCCCTGTCTTGTCCTCAGTCTGGTGATCCTAGCGGGGAAATGTGCTGAGCTGTTGATGGGAAGGTGGAGAGGCCAGAGCTCCAGCTGCAACAGAGCCATCTCTCACTGCTTTGGAGGGAACTTGTTCCCAAGGACGCAGGTCCTGTCCTGGGTGGCCCAGCTTTGCACATCTGGGCTTGAAGTCCTCGGCTTAGAACCCCCTAGAGCCGACCCCTGCACTGGTTTTTGTCCCCTGAGGTTTTGCTTGTCCTCCCAGAAAAAAAAAAAAAATCAAGTATCTCACTATTTTCAAACACCAGGAAGGGCACTGTATAACTCAGCCTTCCTTCTAACTGAGCAGGGAGCTGACTTTTCACAGGAAATCATGGGAAGAGGAAGTAGCTAGAAAGCTGAAAAGGCAGGAGCCAGCTTATTGGCAACCTGCTGTGTGCCAAATACTGCATCAGGAACATACATTTTCTTAAATTCTCACAACCACCCCTAAGCATGTAAATATTACTTTTTTTTTTTTTTAACAGCTAAGAAAAAGCCTCTGGGCTAATGTGACATCAGCATCTATTCTCCCCTAGGTCTGGCCTAGGGCTCCATCCTCCGGAAACCCCTTAGGCACCCTCAGTGCCTCAGAGCTCATTTCATCACCCATGTTGTTGCCTGGAGCCCTAAGGAACAGACTAAAGAGAGCTTCATCCCTCTAACAATCCCTTTCCTCTGTCTTCAAGTCCTAGATGGTTTCCTTAGAATCCAAGATGTTTCCTATTTGAAGTCTGTTTCTTATTCTTGGTTTTGAGATAGGGTCTTGCTATGCAAGCTCAGGCTGGCCTTAACCCTCTGCTTCAGGGTCTTCGCTGTGGAGTTGAGTTCCCGAAGCTTGCTACATCTGTCCAACTTTAATGTTTTCATGGATGGGTACATTTCCTCCCCAGTCCCCTCATTCGGACACAGCACCTGGGACACAGGTGCTTGGTGAATGTGTTAGATGAATACCTATCAGCCCTCCACTATGCTTGCTCTTTCTCCTGGCCCGTAGCGGTCTATATAGATCTAATATTGTCTGTGTTGGGAAGAAAGTATCAAGTCACCAAGAAAATGGTTTTTTAAATCCCTAAGAGATTGATAAGCCCTCCAAGCAACTTATTTCACAAATGGGCAACAGTATACGTGAGTATGTGAATGGCGTGTGCTTGTCCCGAGTCAGAGTTGCCTCGCAGGCACTGCACAGGAATCTCAGATGTCCCCAGCCATCCCTGAGCACACAGGCATGTGGCTGCCAGTCAAGGCAGTTTGGAAGAGAGGTTGACTTTGAACTTGAATATTTATTTATTTAAGCAGGAGCGTGTACCACAACACACATGTGGAGGTCAGAGGACAACTTGCGGAAGTCAGTTCTCTCTTTCCATCGTGTGGGTCTCAAGAACTGAGCGCAAGTCCTCAGGCCTGGCAAGCCTGCGCTTTATGGACTGGCTTTTCCCACAGAACCGTGCCGCTTGCCTCTGAAAGCTGCTTAAGTCTTCTTCATCTCCTTCAAGTAAATCACCAACAGACTTTGTCCCTTCAATCATTCACACTCTTCACTTGGGCTGCTTTGTGTCAGGATTCTGTGTCTAAGAGACAGACTCCCACTGAGCTGGGTCCAATCAGAGGCAGAAGGGCTTGTGGGCACGACTATGCATTCCAGGACTGGACTGCCTCAGTGGGAATGCTGGCTCGACCATTGCTCACGGTGTTACCCTGAGCAAGCTACACCCCCGTTCTGGGCCTCAGTTTCCTCTGCCACAAAATGAGGACATGATGATACTTACCTAAAAGACCGTTATATGGAAGCGAATGTGCAAAACGTACTTATAATAGTTCTTAGTATCCAAAAACAAACAAACAAACAAAAAGTCACCCGATATTTTTATGTTTTTATTATGCCAAACTTGATCAACGTAAATTCTAGGTCCCAGAAGATCAAAAATAATCTTAAAACCAAGTCTGGTGGCACTTACCCAGCACTTAGGATGTAGAGGCAGGTGGATCTCTGTGATTTTGAGGCCAGCCTGGTCTAACACAGTAAGCAGAGGATAGCCAAGACCTATGTAGTGAGAAAAAAAGAAGAAGCAGGCCATGGGGCTGTGGCGATGGCTTAGTGGATAAGAGTACTGGCTGTTCTTCAGAGGACCCATGCAGCTCAGGACCTCCCTCGTAACTGTTCTCCTGGCCTCTGCAGGCGCCAGGCGTGCATTTAATGCACAATGCCGGCAGATCACTCCTAAGTGTTTTTAAGTAATTTTTTTTTTAAAGAAAGAAAACCATACTTCCAGAGACGAGCACCAATAAACACAGGCAACACGTACCTTAGCTGATGTCGAAAGCCTGCCAAGTGACACAGAGACCCCCGAAGCGCACAATTCTGGCGTTATCCCTGGGCCTGCAGAGTTTAAAGGTGACATCTGAGAAAACCCGATGGTTGTTCGGGTGGTCCCCTACAGATCAGCATGTCTTGAGAGCACTTCAGTCACAGTTGCTTAAACCAAAGAGTTCGGCTTTGGCTGGGCAGTGGTGGCACATGTCTTTAGTCCCGGCACTAAAGGCAGATGGATCTCTGAGTTCGAGGCCAGCCTGGTCTACAGAGTGAGTTCCAGGATAGCCAGGGCTATACAGAGAAACCCTGTCTCAAAAAGCAAAACAACAACAAACAAACAAACAAAAAAGAAGTTGGCTTTGGTAGGTTACCCAGGGACCCTGCAAACTGCTGGTGCTACTCCTGACACAGCAGAGTACAAACGGCCTAGTCAGTCCTTCTGACGACCTTCTTTATGCCACAGAGTGACTCAGATAGTCACTGGCAGAGGCACACTCCGCGCTGCTGTACTTGACAGTTGGTGTCAGACCATTTGGCAAGCCCCATGGATTCCCCCCGTCTAAGCTCTGTGAGAGGACACAAGAATTGTAGCCCGCAACCCCTGTCCTTAAGCATCCTGTGCTCTAGGAAAGGAAGCCGTGAATTTCTTAAGTTTCTCTGTCAGTGTTATTAAAACCTGTCCCGGCCACAAATCTTAAAAGAGTGGGAGACTCAGGTGCCAGTGCATGTGGAAAACACTAATTCAGCAGGAAGAACAAGGACGGGGACTCAGAGCAGAAAGGACAATCAAGAAAGGCTTCCTGGATAAGAGGGCAAAAAGCTGGCCCCTGGTGGAAGATTGAAACAGCAGAGCTGTTGTGCAGAGCAGGCCTGGGGGACGGGCATCCCGCACAAGTGTAAGCAGGTCGTGTTTACAGCCCAGCAACGCCGCCGACATGCCTAGAACAGAAGCTGTGTCCAAGGATGCCGAGAAATGAGGTTGGAATGAGTTAAGAAGAAGCCAGAGCACGAAACGCTTGAGCTTTGGTTTGATCCTGGCAAGCGGTGAAGTTGCAGAAGTCTCTAAGGAGAGTAACATCACAGAGTCCTGGGAGGGTTACTGAACTCCATCTGGCTGATCCACATGCCTGTGGACGCCCACACTGGGACAGGAAGAACCCTGCCCCCCTCCCCCCCCAGCACCATCTCTTGCCCGGCCCACATGACCAGAGGGGACAGGACACCTGATCACGCTTCCGCAGGACTCAACCTTTGGCCCTTCTGTTCCTTGGGATGCTCCAAGCCTCCTAGCTCCTTCCCCCCACCAACCCTGCCTGACCTCCTGGGGCCTGAGCAGACACCTTCTGTGGGAGGAGGGTTGGCAGCTCTTTGGGTAGATGAGTCAGACACCTGGGCGTGGCTTCCTCTCAGGGCTGTTCTCTGGACTGTGTACCTTGGTCGTGGAAAGAGGACTCCATGTTTCCCAAAGGCTTCCCTTTCCTGCTATGCCTGTGGCTTTAATTGTCCACTCCCGCCTACCACAGGTATCTCTTCAGCTCCCCATTGACTTCTCTCACACCCTTCCTCCATGAGTGGCTGGGGTCAATGGATGTTTCTTGAAGCCCAGAATCCATGTACTCTGGGGATCAGGTTCCTTCTGCTCTTGTGAAACGCCACAGGTCTGTGGGCCGATGCCCTGGCTGCTTGCGCTCAGAGCAAGCAGGTACAGGCTGAGGGCCCTAGTGCCCACTTGTAGCATCAGGCTCTGCGAGCCCTGGCCAGGCGGGTGGTCTGTGCCAGGCGTCCCTGCTCCCACCTGCCCTTGCAAGCAGCCTCCCCGACACAGGGTGGCAGGCACCATTGCAGATGCCCCTGTACCAGCCTGCAGGTGACAGGGGATCTTCTACACTCTGCTGCCAAGTGGAGCGACTTGGCTAGGAGGCTGCAGGCTTCAGGGATTCCAAAGGCAGCCCATGAGCAGAAGTTCCAAGTATGTCTAGGCTGGAAGGCAGACACGTTCTTTTGCAGAGAATCAAAGAAACAAAAGGTTTTTTGTTGTTGTTGTTGTTTAAAGTAGAGCAGATGGCTGATTTACTCATGGAAATGGCCAGTTCAAGGGGATCTTCTCCGCATCTCCCTGCTTCCAACACTGGAAAAACCCACACAATCATGGGTTGTGAGACTTGGGCAAGGACTGACCTTTAACATTGTGCCAGGCACTCATCCAATTCCCCAACAGGTGATCTGTTGGGGTGTTTTCCTTCTTCTCCTCCTCCTCCTTTCCTCCCTCTTTTCCCCTCCTCTCCAATAAAGAGACAGTAGAAAACACCATATGCTCCAAACTGCTCACCTTTTTTATGAGCAAGAAAAAAAAAAAAAAAAAAAAAAAAAAGCTCGAAGTCTGCTGTCTTCCCAAGGTCCCTCAATTTGTCCTTGAGAATCTGGACTTCCGATTGCCAGACAGCATGCCTCTCAAACCTCTCCTCCTCCCACACCCACCTGCCTTTTCATTGTAGAAACCGCAGTTTTCTCCTGGTGTGGCACTGGAGCTAGCACGGCAGCTGGGTCCCAGTCCTTTCGTAGCAGAGGAAGGGTTCCTGGAGGAGTTTTGGGCCAACCCTCTGGACGCCTGTTCTTGCTCCCACAGTCATCCTAACAGATGAGGAGGTGCAGCGTAAGAGGGAGATGATCATGAAGAGGAAGGAGGAAGAAGCCTTGAAGGACAGCCTGAGGCCCAAGCTCTCCGAGGAGCAGCAGCGAATCATCACCATCCTGCTGGATGCCCACCACAAGACCTACGACCCCACCTATACCGACTTCAGGGATTTCCGGGTATGTCTGCTAGCCCGGGTCTTGAGGCAGGCCAGTGGAGAATCAGGTAGAGCCTAGGCATGGGGAGCAGGGATGAAGACGGGAACCAGGGGGGAGACTGAGCTGTGAGCCTTTCCCCTTGCAGACCTTCCCTGAAGCCTTTTCTCTCAGGAGCAGGAAAATGGCCCTCCCACAGGGACCTCTGAAAACCCGTCTTTTCCTTGCAGCCTCCAGTTCGTACAGATGGGAGTGCAAGGAGCTACACTCAAAGGCCCACACTCAGCTTCTCCGGGGACGACTCCTCCTCCAGCCCTGACCTGTACACCACCTCACTGGGTAAGGGGAACAGCGTCCAGGCCCAGGTCTTTGGATGTGATCTCTTGTCAGAACAGCCATGTTCTGAGTTTAAATTCATATACATATACATACACACACATATATATGTATATGAATTTAAATATATATATTCCAATTGTTTTTTATAAGGAATGCACGGAAGTGGGATTTCTCTGCACATAACTGTATTCTCTCCCCCCGTGTGTGTAGGGGTGAGGCACGCCCTTAGTCACTGAACTCTAGCAGGAGGCAGATTTCTGTGAGTTCCAGGACAGCCAGGGCTATAAAGTAAGACCCTGTCTCAGAAAAAAAAAAAAAAAAAAAAAAATCTAAATGTCCATCCACCTCTTGTCTCCACCTCTTGAGAGCTGGTATTACAGAGCATGACCTCATGCAGCAACTGGAGGCTTTTCACTCTGAGTTTCAAAGAGTTTTGGTTGGTTGGTTGTTTTGTTTTGTTTTGTTTTGTTGTGGTGGTGGGGTCTGTGTAGCCTTGGCTGTCCTGGACTCAGTTAGCAGACCAGGCTGACCTCTAACTCACAGAGATTTGCCTGCCTCTGCCTTCTGAGTGCTGGGATTACAGGCGTGCGCCACTGTGCTCAGCTCAAATAGTTTCTTAGATCACACACATAGCTATACATCTTCTGCAGCGCCCGTCGGTGCATAAGTGTCTTTGAGGCTTCCGTCTTTGCAAATACCAGTATCTGCTTTTTACTTGATTCCAATGTATCGTTGGAAAATGTAGATATTCTCTGCCTTGTAGTTACTTGACCATAACAAAGGGAGCTTTTGGCCCCGTGGGCTGAGGGGTCCCAAACACATTTTTTAAATTGAGATTATTGGGAAAATTGCATGCTTTGTGAAATTATAGCTGAGAAGTATTTTTTCCTGATTATGTCTGGCTGCTTGGTTTTACTGTCTTAAATAGCTAAGATAAGAGATGGGGAGAGACCCAGGGGGCGCCTGAGGAGGAACAGTGACCCTGGGAAAAGGCAGTCACTGCTGGATAATCAGCTGACTCTGCTTCCACAAGGTCCTCACGGGAGAGCCTGGCCTGTGCCTGTCATCCAGCAGTTCCCTCTCTTTCCCCATCTTCCCCAGACATGATGGAACCATCCAACTTCAACCTGGATCTGAATGAAGAGGACGCTGACGACCCTTCTGTGACTCTGGATCTGTCCCAGCTCTCCATGTTGCCCCACCTGGCTGACCTCGTCAGTTACAGCATCCAGAAGGTCATCGGGTTTGCCAAGATGATCCCAGGATTCAGGTAAGAGGCTCCAGAAAGGTGTGGGAAACTGTCACAGTCACACATGGACCTAGAAGGTGCTTGCAGCCCTCTTCTGCTTCCCCCAGACACAGCCTCAGGCCCACCCACCCCCACACAGGAAGCTCTGGACCAGGCCAGCACCATACTTTAGCACACTTAGCTCTCCAGCACTGTGCTGAGAGCATGACCTGACCATGCTTCACTCAAATCTGCAAAAATGCCCCCTCCTAATCACACCAAGCCCTTCCTACCAGCATAAGGAGGCACAAAGAGTTCTACTACAGTAGGCATTTTGCCTTACAGATTCATTCATGCAGATTTTGCTCACTCTTGCCAGCGTTTGTTTTAATAATGATTGCATACGGAGCTGGGGAGATGGCCCAGTGGTTAAGAACACTTGTACAAACGTGAAGACCAGAATTCAGATCCTTAGTACCCACATAAGAGATCCAGATCGGGACTGGAGAGCTGGATCAACGGTTAATGCTCTTCCAAAGGACCAAAGTTCAATTCCCAGTACCTACATGGTAGCTTACAACTATCTGTAACTCCAGTTTCAGGATATCTAATACCCTACCCTTGCCCCCACAAGTACTGTGTGCACGTGATATACAAACATGCACACAGGCAAAACATCCACACATACAAAATAAAAATAAAGGTTCAAAAAACAGCCAGGTAAGTGAGGTAGTCCTGTAATCCCAGCATTCATAGAGGGATAGGATCCCCAGGGCAAGCTGCCTACCTGGACTAGCCATATCAGCTGGCCCTAGGGCTCAGAGAGACCGTGCCTCAATATATAAAATGATGAGAGATAGAGAAGGATATTTAGTGTCATCAACCTCTGACCTTCACACATGCTCACACATATCTGTACATACTTGAATACACACACACACACACCACATACACACACATATATATATACACACACATATATGAAAATATATATTTACATATACACACATGCATAAAAATAACATTCTGCCATGTTTGTTACTTATATTTGAATATCCATTCAGTGTTAAATAGTCTTACAACAATACAGCACTGTCACTTTTAATATATATATTGAAGTATAGTTAGATCTATATTTATGTATATTTGATACCTTCATAGTTTCCAAAAGATCAATGGGAACACTTCCATAAAACCCGCACATCATGTGGTCAAGAAACAGGAAGAACCCTGTCAATGCAAAGCGATGCATCATCACTCCCCAGGTAGCAACAGCTGAGGCCAGACTGCTTCCTAGACACTGAAACTCAAGTCCAGTTCTGAGTCCCCGGAGCTGGAAGTGATTCGGCGTTGGCTACCTTTAGCTAGAAGCTAACACGAGGTGCCTCTCCTGGTCTTGTCAACCTTTCACTGTGAGGGAAAGCACTCAATTAGTTCCTGTCTAAATTACCACACTACCTCTCAACAATGGTGGTTCACAGGGCTCAGGCAGCCCCTCCCAGTTGGTTTCTGCCAGGAAACGACTGGCTGTGTGTTGCTTTATACCTCTCACCAACTCAGACTGGATCAGTGAGTCTCACATGCAGAAGAGAAACACAACAAGCAGTATTGAGACACACACATACACACACACACACCAACTACACTGGGCTTTCAGCTGTGGCAATGGGGGCAAGGGCCTCTCCGTCAGCCAGGTGGACACACCGAGCATCCCGTGCGGGATGAGGCCTGGTTCATCCACAGAGCCGTGACATGGATCTGGCAAACACGTTCTGTTGAGCACAAGTTCCGACTCCTTCTATCTATCATGCTTCGTGTTGCTTTTTGCAAACTCCATGCCTTCCAAAGTCTTGTTTTGTGTAAATAACTAGAAATAAAACAAAACACTCCTGAGGTACTGAAGACCTCTGGCAGCAGCTGCCTTCCACCGGATTCTGAGGGGCACTCTCCTCTGTTAGGGTTGTCTTTCCTCACAATAGTGTGGGAGAGGGCCAGTCGGCTTCTCTTTCCTCATGGCGGCCTGAGAAGCCTCAGAGCACAGTGCCTTATAACAAAAAATGGACCAGGCCTTGGCTGGAGGACATGAGCTCGGATACCCTGAGTAGACAGAGGGATGCTGTGCCTGGACAGCAGCCAGCCCGGCAGCAATCTGGGTCTGTCTGCGGTTTCCACACGACAGGGCTGTGCTTTTCTGAGAACAGTAGTTGCATCCCTGGCAGCTTTGATCTTGTTGCCCGAAGGTGAGGGAGACAGGTGGGGAGAGGCAGGGTGAGACTTCTGTGTGGGTGAGGGGAGTGGGGATGGGATGGGACTGCAGCGTGGGCACGGGTCCAGCCTAGGGCAGGACAGGATAGGCTGCTCTGGGCGTGCACTGCACAGTAGCGCGCCCTTGGCCCTGCTCCGTCATACCTCCCATTCTTCAGTCTGCTCCGGCTCCCCCACAAGCCTCTCTCCTTGTGCGAATGAAATACATGGAGGAGGTGGTGTCAGCCAGGAGCAGCCATGGATACGGCTGCTGTCCCGAGCAGTGGAAGGTGCCGTTGCTCCAGCGCAGCTTCAGGGGCCTCACTGCCGCTTCCTTTTCCGGGGGCTCCTTATCTAGTCACAGGCCTGGAGGCCCAGTGCCCTACCTGCCCTCTGCTCTTCCCCACACAATTGTTTAACCTTCGATCCAGCCACTCTCTTGTATAACTGTGAGGGACAGGAGTCGATTAGAACACCATCTCTGGCCTCCAGGGATTCAGTGTCTGATGGGAGAGATAGACATGTGAACAATGGCTGCCAACAGATAAGGACGATGCTGGAAACCTGCTGGAGGTACAGCACCGTGCAGGGAGGGGCCAGACAGCAACATAGTTCCAGGGAACACCTCAGGGGCCCGGAAGTGGCCACATTGTGAGTAGAGACTCAGGGTAGGCTGGGAGACACAGGACTTGGCCAGACCCTGAGCCGGTACTCGCCTCAGGAGAACAGGCTCCCTTTCCAGTTTTCTGGGAACGATGCTTACTTAGAAAGCCCCTGCGTTTCCCAGCTATGGGTGTAATGCTGGGTCACCATCACTTCCCTCACAGCAGTAGCGTGCCCGGATCACGAGAAACCCTGATCCCACTGAAATCCAGCTTTCCAGACAGCAGGCTGCTGTGATCAATATTATACAGCCTGTTAAGAAATGAGCTGGGTTTATCTTTTCGCTTTTATACTTTTTCTTAATTTACAAAGATTTTAAGAGTGAGCTAAAATGGAGACGGTTGTTAGCATTTGTTTGTGTCTGACAGGGGGGCTCACCACGCTTAGGCTGGCCGGAAACTTCCTGTGTAGGCCAAGCTGGACCCAAACTCATGATGATGCCCCTCTTTCAGCCTCCTGAATGCTATCACTACACCTCGTTAGTTTTTACTTTTGAATGTACACTGAGTATTTAGAGCATTTAGATACCATATTGTTAATCTGTTTGTCAAAGATTAAAAAGATGAAAGAAGAACACAGGAGTTCTCTTAAAAAAAAAATCCAAGACTGATGAAAGTGCTTGCCAGCCCAAGCCTGATACCCTGAGGTCAGGTTCCCAGAATCCAAAGTGAAAGGAAAGAAGAGAAAACTGATTCTCCAAAAGTGTCCCTGTGACCTCCACAAGTGTGCCATGAGCACCTCCCCTCTCTCACACACAATAGTAATAGTAACAATAAATAATTTTTAAAAATAATAAAAAACCCACACAGTTGGGAGTTCTCATAGACCATGGAGGAATCCCGTGGCTCCGTGTGTTGCTAGGACAGGCACAAGTGTCTGCCCCGATTGGCTGTAGCTCAGGAGAAGACGTAGGAGCTAGCTAACGGCCTCACAGCTGGACCCAGAGGCTGTGAGTGTGGCTCTTAGAGAAATCTACAGAGGCCGCATCCCAGTCATTCATCAAGCATGCAGAAGTGGAGCTGGCCCTGAAGTCTCCAATGCGAGTCCTGCAACCATGGTACCTGTGGAATTTCTCCGTCCTGATCCTTGGCCAGCCATCTAGCCATGGAAGCCTTCTCCCTCCCGTCATCTATCAACTGTTTCCTGCGTCTACGTACTGAGAGTGCTGCAGAAAGCATTTTAGCCTGTCTGCGGAAGACTCCTACAGGGGAGTCTAGACAGTCAGGAAAGGAAAAGGAGGGAAAGCCAGAAGCAAGCTGGCCTATCAACCTGCTTTTCCCTGCCATTGCTCAGACAAGCCCTTCTCTTGCTCAGAACAGCGCAAGTCACATCAACATGTTTATTGATCCTCTTGTACCTGGGGCTCAGTGATCATTCTCTGGGAAACAATAAGGCAATTAAGAGGTGGTGTTGGCTCCCAGGTAGCTTACAAACAGAAGCTGGAGCTGGGAGTGGTAATCCCAGCTCCCAGAAGGCAGCGGGAACTCCAGCCACCCCGGGCTGCGGAGAACCCCAGGATCCAGAGCACAAAACCAGCAGAGGCAGAGGCAAGTACAGGAAGGGAAGGGTCGAAGCTGAGCACCATCGAGATACCCTGGTGCTGGAGAAAGAACTGAGCCTGCCGATTCAGCCAGACTGCTGGGGGCAGAGAGCTCCACAGGAGAACACACTGGTTTGAAGACCAGAAAGGTGTCATGGAGCTTAAAAGAAGGTGTTTCTGAACCTGGTGAGACGGTTCACAAGAAAAACCTCAGTTCAACCCCAGAGGGGACCCACATGGTAAAAGGAGGGAAGAGACTCCCAAGTTGCCCTTTGACCTCCACTCATGCGCTACGGCTCATGCACGCCTCCACGTGCACACAAGAGAAATAATGTAAAAATAAGGTTAAAAGAAAGAGCTGTTCCTCACTGAAACTGTGCATCCTCAAAGGCCTGGTGTGTGGGAGTGCAGAGCATTTGGATGCAGAGTGGCCCTGTGTTGCAACCATGGAGGCGTGGTGGCCTTTGTGATGGGAAAGAGGCCTGGAAAGACCAACCAGAGCCAAATTGTGGAGTCTGGGCTTGATCTTGGAGTGTTTGATCCTAAGGAGGATCTTGGGCACAAGAATAACATTGCCCTGTAGCAGCAACAGGGAAGATGAATGAGAGGCTTGAGTCCGGGTTTCTAAGTAGAAGGCTGTTGCACAAACCATGGAGAGGGACATTGTCTTAGTGTTTCTCTTGCTATGAACAGACTCTGTGGTCAAGGTCACTCCTGCGTTTAACTGTGACTTGCTTACAGTTTCAGGGCATGAGTCAATAATCACCATGACAGGAAGCAGACAAGCATGCTGCAGCAGTAACTGAGAGCTTTGCGTCCTGATCCACAAGCAGCAGGCAGCCAGCGAACCAGTAAGCCTGGTTTGGGCTCTTTAAGACCTCAAAGTCCACCCCCAGTGACACACTTTCTCCAACAAGACCACACTTACTCCGGCAAGGCCACACCCCCTAATCCTTCCCAAACAGCTCCACTCCCTAGGGTCTAAGCATTCAAATATATGAGCCCACCGGTTCTCATTCAAACCTCCGCAGCTATGGAGCCGGCTCAGTAGATCAAGTGCATGATGCGCAAGCATGAGGTACTGAGCTCAGACACCCACCTGAGTCCACAGCACCCACCCAAAAGTCAGATGTGGTAGGACACATGTAGAACCCCAGTGCCAGCTCAGCAGCCAGGTAGTCAGCCTGAGACAGCCAGCTCTGGATTCAGCAAGAGACCCTGCCCCCAAACAAGACGTCCAGTAGAAAAACTGGACATCCACCTCTGGCCTCCACACCTACACATACAACCAAAACAAAAACGATGGAGCTCTCGGCCAGAGCAGTCTTAGCGGGGAGCAGGAGTGAAGTCAAGGGCTCGATGTGTCCTGGAGACAGAGTTGGCTAAGGCTGCTGCTGAGGAGGGCTGGATGACTGGAGGAGGAGAAGCCCACACAGGAGGCGTTGATGGAGCTTCCTTTGGCTGCCCCTCCCTGTCCACCGTAGCTTCAGCTATCAGCCAGAGAGCCACTGGACCCGCCTTGAGTTCTCCCCCATCCAGACACACTCTCTTACCTTCCAGCCAGGCTGGAATGCCTTGATGACAGGCCACAGGTGCCTGTGACTTGAAGGTTTTTACTGGTTCCCTGACCGACCTCTCCCTCCCTGCCTTCCCCACCAGGGACCTCACTTCTGAAGACCAGATTGTGCTGCTTAAGTCAAGCGCCATCGAGGTTATCATGTTACGCTCCAATCAGTCCTTCACCATGGATGACATGTCCTGGGACTGTGGCAGCCAGGACTACAAGTATGATGTCTCCGATGTCACCAGAGGTGCGGTTGGGCTTCACCTCTTCTTTCCCCAGCTCCCAGACTCTGGCTCTCTCCTGCCTCTGGACTCCTGGGGCTGTGACCAGGCACTCTGACGGGGGACCTGGGCAACAGCAAAGACAGAGAAGGGAAGGGATAGTTCCCAGGGGTGGTTTCAGGTAGGGTGGATGCCTCGGCCCTCACCCTGGCTCTTCTCTCTCACAGCTGGGCACACCCTGGAGCTGATTGAGCCCCTCATAAAGTTCCAGGTGGGGCTGAAGAAGCTGGACCTCCATGAGGAAGAACACGTCCTGCTCATGGCCATCTGCATCGTCTCTCCAGGTACGGAGCCCAGCAGGGAGGGAGTGGGAAACCTGGGACATGCCAGGGACTGACCGTACGAGACAAAGGCCTGCTCAGAGACAGCAGGACTTTCTGGAGGAGAAGCGAACAAGAGAGGCCAATAAGGAAGTGCTCACTTTGCTGGGCTTGCACAGGCTGTGTGGCATGTGGAGGGGTCACTCAACACATGTGGCTTTGTCTCACAGAGGCCAAGGTGATTCATCATAGCGCTTTGAGAAACCAGATGAACAGGGTTCCACAAACCATATATAGGCCTTGGGTGCTGCCAGTCTTAGACTCTGTTCTCGTGTGGCCTCAGGTGAACTTTCCAGTCACCCCCAGGCAGGCCAGAAACCCCTGGAGAATAGTGGCTGCTTCTGCCTGGATTGACTTTGGAGGCTGTGGGCTGTGACCCAGTGTGGGGAAGAGACTGGGAAGGAAGTTGTTGTAGTCTTGGAGATGCTATATTGGTGATAAACCCCAAAGGACTCGGCCCTAACTCAGCCTGGACTATATGTCCACAGGGGACAAACTAGTGGGACTGTGCCCAGGAGTGCCAAGGTGGAAGGCCAAAGGGTAGGCATAAGCTTCCCTTCTGCTGCCCGGCTGGCATGCCCTCACTCAGTCACACACGCAGGAATGATTTACTGAGCAGCTACTATGGCTGGACAGTGGGGAGAGGCACAGGGAGTCACAGCACATGGCACAGATCTCTCTCCCGTGAAGGTTAGCGGGGGACGAATGCTGGTATCAAGTCGTTTGCAGTATGACGAGAGAGTTGAGTGTGAAGATGGCAGGATGATACAGGAGCGACCCTGATGTGGCCCTGGGGCATGGCGGATGTCAGGAGCTGCCCTCTTCAGGAGGGGCTCTGAGTCTGTTCCCTGGTAATCAGTCAGGCAGCGAAAGAGATAAGAGCTGATGTCCAGGCAACAGGGAGATCTGCTGAGTACCAAGGACCTGAATAGCAAAGCGAGGACAGAACCTAGAGACAGAAGGAGGGAGGCGAGGGGAGACTGGACCAGACGAGCCCATGAAAGGACTTGGTCCCAAATGCAGAGGGTGTCATCGGGGGGGGGGGGTGCTGACTTGGGGTGCCTGTGTGAATGGATACTGTGAAACAGCATCCCTGTGTCTTCCTCCATCTCCCGTGACGCAGACCGGCCTGGGGTACAGGACCCCAAGCTGGTTGAAGCCATCCAGGACCGCCTATCCAACACTCTGCAGACCTATATCCGCTGCCGCCACCCACCCCCAGGCAGCCACCAGCTCTATGCCAAGATGATCCAGAAGCTGGCTGACCTTCGAAGCCTCAACGAGGAACACTCCAAACAGTACCGCTCCCTCTCCTTCCAGCCGGAGAATAGCATGAAGCTCACGCCCCTCGTGCTGGAGGTGTTCGGCAATGAGATCTCCTGACCAGGGTGGCCCGAGGTGGTGCCTGGGTGGGGCCTCTCCTCCAGGGCCCTGTGCCCAGGCCCTCGGCTGATGGCAGCTCAGCAGTGCCTCCTTCCCCTTCCAGAGTTCAGTCCTCCCTCTGGCCCATCCTTTCTCCTGCCCAGCCAGACACCAGCTCTCCTCCTGCAGACCACAGGTCCTGCCTGTTCCTTGAGACCTCTGCTATGAGAGGCCTGCTGCTTATTTGACAAAGAAACTCAAGTGGGGGTAGAGGGCAGAGGCTGAAGGCAGAGACGGGCCCAGGGATGCCCCTACCACAAGGGGCTGCTGCTTGTGTCAAGGGAGGCAGGCAGGAGAGATGTGCCCATTCCTCAGGGATAGGTACCTGCACCTCCCCCAATTCTAGCCCTACCTGCTCAGAGCCTGCTGGGAAATCCTACCCCCGCCTACAAAGGGTACACAACCTACCCACAATCCCCCCCCCTGGCCCCATCTCATCCTGCTGCCAGTCTGTGCTATTCCGTCCCAGGGTAGTAGGTCACTATGGGGTCTCCTTCCTTTGCTATTATACTCTAAACTCATTCACTGCCAAGATGACCAAATACACTGCCACGCTAACCGAGGAGAACTCGCCTAGCCCTACAGTTCCCTGAGATTCTGCCATGGTCATCCACAGGGCCAGTACCGCTGGCACACTGGGTTTCTTCCCTGTCCCCAGAACCAGGGAATGCAGGGCCCAAGCAATGAAGAACGGAGAAAGCCAGCCTCCCAGCAGGGCAATGAACGGAGGCCCATCTGTCCTTGCCGCCTAGCCGAGGGTTCCGAAGCCTGGAGCTATTGGGACCTCTCCCCTCACCTGACAATTTGTGTCAGGACCAAATTGTCCCCAACTTTGAGAACACCCCAGCTCTGTCTTCACCCCTACCCTGCCAGTGCCTTACCACCTATCCTGGAAAACCCTTTTGCTTTGGCCTCCCAGGGCCTCACAATTTGCTCACCAAGAGTATCCCAGAAGCCATCTCAGCTTCTCCACCCACCCCCCACCTGTCAACAGAGGCCTGTGAAGTGGGCAGGTGATGCTAGGTCCATAGCTTCAAACTCCATCTCTTCCTCTGTAGCAGCCCAGCCCAGGTCCTTGGAACCACAATCTCACTTACACCAGATAAACATGCTGATTATGGGTTGTGGGTGCGGGGGACCCTTACAGAAATGGTTTTTTCATAGGGGGACTCATAGAATGTCCTTCAAATGAATGCTTAATTTGGGGGACACAGCTGTATTGCATGCACCAATAGTGTGCTGAGGTCAGTGGGAACATGGCCCTGTGAGCCCCAGCTGTGTCCTTCTATCCACATTTTTTATCCCCTGAAAACAGATGTAACCTTGCAAGAACCATTGGCATCCACCTGGCCCCATGGTTCCCAGAATTCAAATGGAAAAACATCTGAAAGCCTCATTCCCGTATTTCAGAATGGCCTACAGAAGGCTTAGATCAGAGTTGTTTTCAGAATTAGACTGCACCTTGTACTGTGTTCTAACGCTGAGGGTGGCAGCGCCTGATTCAGAATTGGTGTGTGTGTGTGTGTGTGTGTGTGTGTGTGTGTGTGTGTGTGTGCGCGCGCCTGTGTGTGTGTGAAAACACTGTACATTAATGACTGTTGTTACTGCACAAAGCAATAGAGAGAGACCTTTGATTTCAACTGCAGGACACATTGATCCAGCTTATTATTCATGGAAGGGAAAGTTTGAACTGCTAAGCTAGTTCAACCCCTTGATAATGAGAACCTGACATTAGAGGAGAGCGTGGATTACCCAGGCTCTTACAATGAGAAATAGACCCAGGCCTGGAGAAAATTTCAGCTTACGGTCTTGGACCTGTTTCCACTGCTCTGGTAGCTGAGCCGGGATGTCAGGAGGCCCTGGATATTAGCGCCTCCAGAGACTATCAGTTACTTCGCCCAAGGGCCCCCCACCACTGAGGCAGAGCCCAGAGGGGGTCAGAAGCTGGGAGGAAAAGACAACAGGGCCAGTTGCATCCAAGAAGCTGAACTGAGAGGGAAGGGCATTGTCTCGTTTGTTTATTCTGGATGTACAAAGGTGGGCCTTGAAAGAGCTCACACCTCTGAGGTGTATTATTAGGCCGGAAGGGAAACGGACACCACCATGAAAAGCCAGCAGGATTTCATGAGATAGGAGGCTCCCCCTACTGCCTAAGTGGAAGAAAGCCGAGTCCAAACCAGGCCAACAACGGTGGTGGGGATAGAGAAATCTGGCGAGGTTGGACATCAAGCATCAGTAGAAGGCTCTGATGAGCTTCCCAAGAGATTTCCAAAGAGGAAAGAAAACGTTTTTCCAGGAGCTTGTCAAATAAACCAATGAAAAAGCTTTGCCGATGGTAATAGAAGCAGCTCATAGTCACACAGCACTTACCCTGTGACAAACACCGCTGTAAATAAACGCCTCGTGAAAAGCCACTTGCTTGATCTTTATAAGGTTCCCGTGAAGGATGCGCCATTGTTGTCCCCACGTGGTGGAGGGGCCTAGTTGCCCAAAGCTACACTGGTGGGGAGTGAGAGGTGGCCTTTAGACCTGGGCAGCTGTCTTTCCGGAAGCCTTTAATTAATTGTAATGTTCTACTGCCCCCTAGAGAGCTAAGAGGTGTGACAAATGATAGGCAGTCTTGCCACCCCCCTAAGGAGGGGACTAGGGAGGTTTCCGGTCCTCGGTCCTCGATGGGGAGAGTGGAGGTGCTGGACCACAGAGTGATCTGCCAGCTAGAAGTATTTGGCCTAATGTGTCCGGCTTCATCAGGTGTGGCACTTGCCAAGGAACATCAAGAATGGAAACCACGTGACTCCTCTTTCACTAGAGACATCTGCTAGGCCAACAGTAACCCCTGTGCATAAATATGACTCCCTAAGGGCCCAGAGGAGTAAGATAGACATAGCAAGCAAGAATTCCCAACGGAAGACTCAGGACTGAGGATTGCAAAGAGCACTGTCATGCCCCGCTTGTGTATTTTTTTAAAAGTTGGTTCAGAAACCTGGGGATGTGATTTACTTTAATTTGCAGAAACGTCTGCCAAGTTTTCAGACAACAAGCTAAGATGTCCTGGTGGAATGAGATGTCTGTAGAGGAACTAGAGACCAGGCTGGGGGCTTCGGCATTAAAAACAAGCCGACTTAGAGACCAGAGCTGCCTGAGTCAGGCCCGTCACTGTGGGATGTGAAAGTGGGAAGTGACTCCACAGGTCCTTAGTGGCTTCACACATGCAGGAGCACACACCATCTAGGGAGCATGAAAACCAGAGCAGAGCGATTCTGAGTTTTCACACTCCAAGCCTTTCTTTTGTTCTCTACCTGCACTGTTGGACCACATAATTTTGTTGTTGCTTTGGTTTTTCAAGACAGGGTTTCTCTGTATAGCCCTGGCTGTCCTGGAACTCACTCTGTGGAACTCAGAAATCTGCCTGCCTCTGCCTCCTGAGTGCTGGGATTAAAGCCATGCATCCCTATCCGCCCCTATGGATCACTTAAACTTAAAATCATTAAAATCAAATTAAAGGAAGACACCAAAGCACCCATCCTGGCTCCATGTGGGTACCACTTCGATGAGCGAGTATGTGACGGAAAGAAGGGGAAGATGGAATACACAGTGGAAAGAGGGAGGAGAGAGGGAAGCCCAGTGGTTTCTGTGCTGTGGAGAGAGGCAGAACTGGAGATGCAGTGGTGATGAGGAACAGGTGAAGATTAGAAGCCTGCTCAACCACCAGAAGCCGTGGTGAGGTCCAGGCCCCTGCTGCCAGCAAGGGCCCTGTCTGATCTGTGGCCCTATCGCAGCAGCAGCTGTGGTCTGTACTGATGTCTGTGGCCCGAGCTGCCACCGAGGGCCATGCGGATGTCAGTGGTCTGGGCTCCTGCCTGAGTCTGTTGATGGCCGGAGGCCTTACTGACACCAGGGGCCAAACTGATCTGAAGGGCCTGTGCCGCCATCTGAGGCCATGGTGATATCCTAGCCTGGGCTGCCACTGAGGGGCATGGCTGGGTCCATGGTCCCTCTGCAGCTGAGGTATGTGTTGATGTCCGTGGTCTGAGTTACCTCCAACAGCCATGTGGATGTCTACGGTCTGGGCTGCTCCCTGAGACCATGTGGATGTCTGAGGACCATGCTGACGCAAGGAGACATACTGATCTGAGTATCCCATGCTGCCACCTGAAGCCATGGTGACATCTAGGCCCATGCTACTGCCAGCGGCCATATCCAAGTCCATGGTCCTACTGCTAGGGTCTGTGTTGATGTCCAAGGCCCTTGTTGCCACCAAAGGCCATGAAGATGTTCCTAGTCTGGGCTGCCACCTAAGGCCATGTTGATGTTCCAGCACAGTGCTAAGCTGGCCCCTCCCCTCGATGCCTGTGTCAGCTGACCCTGCTCCTCACCTCAGCAGCCTGAGCAAGCACTCAGGAGAGCGGTCCCACACCTTACCTGGACAGCACAGTGGAGCTGGCCCTTGTGTCGGGGATGCAGGTGAGCCAACCCTTCCACCCAGGTCACGAGAGCCAGAGAGCTGTCCTCACCCCTTGCCTGGGCAAAGCAGAGAGTTGGCCCTGGAGGAGTGGGTGCAGCTTCCACCCAGGCCCAGATCCAGGGCTCTGAGTTGACCTACCTGTTGTAGGTTGCTGTTAAAATTTACTATTAATTATCTTTTAGTAATGCTGCTGTTAGTCCTAAATAGCTGTATACCCAAAACACCACACAGAGACCGGGTTTTATTTACTTAACCTAGAACACAATGCTGGGCAATAGTTAGTCCATCCTAAAACTTCAAGCCTTCATAGTTTCCTAACATTTAGATTTCCCACATTATACTTGCTTTTAGTGATATATTAGGTCCAGTCCATCTCTCCATGTCTTTCCAAGATCTCCGCTAGCTCTGCTCTCCCAGCTCTCTTCTGCCTTTCTCCCCTCTCTTTCCTGTCCTCTGGCTCCTCTCCTCTCCCAGCTACTCCTTCCTCTCTACTGCTCAACATTGTGGCAGTTTGTTTTATTTTAGCATGTTTACACAAAGTTGAGACAGGTGATGCTTAGAAAAAGTATCACAATGCAACATCCGGATTGAAACCAGAGAGTGGGGGAGAGAAATCAGCATGTGAATGAACAAGGGTAAAGTGTACACATTCCACAAGAGCATTATATACCAACACCCGCCCCAATGCCTACCTCATATATGAAATGCTGGAGTGCATGAGGAACCACCATCTCTGTAGGTCCAAAGCTGCAGGATCTCCATGACCCAGGGCAACAGCAGCGTATCCGAGAGGAGTTCCGGTGAGAATCCAGCATTGATGGTGTAGTAGAAGCCAGAGGCCTTGAACCACACCAACGAACATTTGCAAGTGAAGATGTGTAGACAGAAGGGTAGACTGTGGGACGCGCCGTGACACACTGAAGCTTCCACGGTGAGATTTTGTTTGTTCTGGTTTTTTGTTTGTTTGTTTTCTTTGGCGGAGGAGACTGCAAGCACGGAGGGTAGATATGAAGGAACAGAAGATGAGTGGGATTGGAGTGTGTGCTGTGAGATTCATAAAGAACCAATAGAAAGTTAAATCAAGGTGGGCGGTGGTAGTGCACACCTTTCACCCTAGCACTTGGGAAGAAGTATGAGTTCGAGGCCAGCCTGGTCTGCAGAGCAAGCTCCAGGACAGTCAACGCTACACAGAAACACTCTGTCTTGTAAAATCAAAAACCAAAACAAACAAACAAAAGTTAAACTTTTTTTTAAAAAATCAAGAAATTCACACATACACACAAAAATCAAACCAAAGGCCATGTGTGGTGGTGCATGCATTTAACCCCAGTATTCGGAAGGCAGAAGCAAGATCATCTCTGTGGGTTCAAGGCCAGCAAAGTGAGACCCTGACACACACACAGCAAAACAAACAAACAAAACAACCAAAGGCATTTCTAGTATACATTTCAAAAAACAGTCTTGTAACTGTGAAAAAAAAAGAAAAGAAAGAAAGAAAACCAAAATATTCCACCCTCCAACTTGAAAAACTGCAGCTCTCAGAGGCTCCAGTGCTCAGCGGCCTCAGAGCTACCATTAGGGACAGTGTCCCACTGGGCAGGGACGGTCTACCCCAAGCAGTCTCCCCTAGTGTCTTATTAGAGACAGAGTCCTGCCATCTCGCACAGGCTGGACCTTACTATACGGTACAGACTAATGTCAAACTCAATGTAGTGGGAGAGAGGCGTGGGGCGCGCTGCTCCAGACAGCTGCTCCGAGTCTCCGTACACACGCATGTCAGATACAGAATCACACTCTGAGTGAGGTTCAAGGGATGTAGACCCTAAAAGGTAGCTTGAAGGCCAGAGAGGTCTTCTCCATACTGGAGAGAGCCCTGTTGGTGTAGCACAAGACAGAGGGAAAAGCTGGGCTGAGAAACATCCCCATGAAGGTCCCAACGCCTCTCGAGGGGAGCCTGGAGCTGGGCTGGCCTTTGACCTCAAATTAAGAAAGGTGGATTTTCTGCGTTTACATCAATGAGCCATTAGATAAGGGCTGTCCCCAGAATCAGGGCTGACCTTGACACAACCTTGAGATATGCCAAAGGCTGGTAGGAGTAGAGTATATTTCTTTTCGTTTTATCTTTCCCAGACAGGACCTTTTCCCTTAGAGCTACTGGGGCTTGGAGAGAAGACAGAAGTATCCCAGCGGCTTCCTTGTGGTCCCAGGGAAGGAGACACCTCCTCCACCCGTTCTGAGAGCCTCTTCTCAGCAGAGAAATCTCAGCAGAGACTTAGCCTGAGCTGTACCACTAGGGGGTGTTACTACCCTACAGCCAGGCCCAAGGTTCGGCTGCTAAGGGCACCTGATGGTATCCCCGTTCCCTTACCCCAGTACGCTGGACACCTCAAACTGGAGCCTCCTCAGGTCAAGATCTTGTCCTTGTGACCTCTGAACCCGCCTGTGCTGAGAATGATAGAAGCCCCGGGCCACACACAGGATTCACTGCATGTTTTTTTCTAAAGTTTATAAGCACAGACCCACAAACAGACCACTGAAGATAGTAGCGGTGGAAGCCACAGTGTAACAGTTCAGGGCGGAAACTACACCCAGTCCTGAGGTTGTTGCACAATGTTTTTGAGCCTTGGCTTCTTCCTCTATAAATTGGCAACAGTAACAGTACCGACCTTGACAGGTTGCTGTTGCGATACTGCAACCTGTGTAAAGAATTCATCACGGAATTCAAAAAAAAGAGAGAGAGAGAAAGAGAGAGAATTCGTCACAGTGCCTGGCATGAAGCCATCAAGCATAAAGGCCTGCCGGCATCACTGTTGGGCCACAGGGTGGTCAAATAAATGTGCACTAACTAGGTGACAATGCTCCCATGCTCTGATCACTGGTTCTTCTTTGGTCACTTGATTGTCCCCAGACTGATGATTGTGGCCTCATCAGAGCTCAGCCTTAATTAGC